GCAGGCGGCGCTGCAGCTCTGAGAGGAAACATCTGAAGAGATGCTCCAGACTGACGAGGCTGCTGAGGAAGAAGTCTGCTTTGGCTTTGATTGTAAAGCGGAGCGGGCTTTTGTTCTGTTCCTCTTTTTGTTGAAGCGGCGCCGGAGGGTTTGGACTAAATAAACACATCGAGTTCAGAGACGCAGGTTGAGTTTCGCAGTTTCTTCTGTTTTTTTTATGGAATAAAAGGTGCAAAACCCAACAGGAGCAATGTTTGTGTTGTTTATAAAACCTCCATACATCTGAATTTCAACACTTCTAAGAGAAATCTCAGCATGCAGACGTTTCCAGATGTTTCCAGACGTTTCCAAATGTTTCCAGATGTTTCCAGCGACCTCTTCGTGGTCTGGATGGGAGATAAAACACCGACTCTGTCTGCAGGATGAGACTGAACAGACTTACATCCTCTAGTTTGTGGATCAGGTTGTTTCTCTGCTTCTAAACGCTCCAGAACAACTTCCTGCCCAAACCCACCCAGCTTCCTGTTGTTTTTTTTTCTTCCCAAATACGGTTAAAATCTGCAAAATCTGACGCCGTTTTGAGCCAAAAACGATAGAAGAAGAATAACTTGATGTACTTTACACTGAAGTTAAATAAATATTTCTACGGCTGGTCAAACTCTGCTGCTAATAAACGGTCCCTAACCTTTTCTGTTGGGTTTTTGTTGTTGAACGTGTTGGAAAATGTTGTTTTTTATCTTTAAATAAACCGCATTCTGCTGTTTTTTTGCTCATAATTTCAGCTGATGGATGAGATGAGAGTTAATTAACGAGTTAACGAGTAAATCAACACCTTATCAGTAATCTAACAACGCAGGTAGAAATCTGTTTTTATTTCCAGTCCAGTGCTGCAAAATTAATGACTTTTAACGCTGATAAATCTGTCGGTTATTTTCTCGACTAATTGATCAGTTCTTTGGTTTAGAAAATGTCAAGAATTGGTTTAAAAAAAAAAAAAAAGCCTCATTTTATCCAAAGATGTTCAGTTTAGTGTCACAAAAAGTGGAAAGAAACCAGAAAATATTCACATTTAAGGAGCTAGAATCGTTTTTTTTCCCTTAAAAGCTGATTATTAGATGAACAAAACAGTTGATTAATTATTGATTAATCAGTGCAGCTCCAGCGTAAACCTTATTTTAATGTCTGTTGTGTGTCTATAACCTGTTAAACTGAGCCGTCTTCATCTCAGGGAGGGTTTTGCTGCTTCATTAAAGGCTAAATAACTTTAATTTAATTCTATTTTTCCAGCATTTTTACTTCTCGTTTCAAACGTCAGTCATCTGAAGCCTCTAGAAAGTCTGGGAAGTAGTAATTTCAACTAAAAGCAACATGAAGTCCTGATCTGGTGGTTTGTTCTGGGCCCCAGGAGGAAACCGAATCTCCTCCACAGAGCTTCTCCAGACTTGTCTAAACCCGTCCTGTTCCTCGGAGCTGGACGGCTGAGCGGGTTTACCGATGATGACGGTGTTGTCGTCCACGATGAGCATCTTGCTGTGGACGTAGATGAGCTCGGTGACCAGCCGGCCCTCCAGCTCGGCGTGAGTCCTCAGGCCGGCGATGGAGATGTAGTTCATCCACTGGTCGCCCACTGAGGACACCACAAGCAGAAAACAGTCAGAGAGGAAACCAGTCCGCTGGATTCTGGGTTAAAACTGTTGAAACTATAAGACTGAAGAAGTGTGACTCAAAAGGAAGTGAGACGTTTAATGACGGAGGTTGTGTTTCTGTGAAAGGAGTCAGTTTGTGGAAGAATCAAGAAACCAAAGAATTTAAAAGAAGAATTAAAGGCGGGACGTTGAGGAGACGTGTTCATGATGTCTGACTGTAATAATAATAATCATCAAATGTTCTGTTTGTGTGTCGTTATGAATATTTATGATGTTTACTGTGTTGTTGTTGTTGTTGTCATTGAAGTCTTTTGTAAACGGATTTCTTTGGGTAAAGGAGGCAGAAAACATCAGATTATTGTTCTCAGGAACGTTTGTGTCGTGTTTCATTGTTTTGTTTGAACTCAGTGAATGAATTTAAATAAAAATGCAAACGTTCAGCGTCTTGTTTGGTGAATCAAAGCCGCCGAGGAGCAGATTGATCACGTCTATGGCTCATTTGGTCGACAAACTCCGACGCAATCCGGTGAAATAAAGAATAACTACAATAATGAATGAATGAATGGACTGGAGAGCGTGGAGAATGCTCAGTTAAATATAAAGATTATAAAAAAGGATAAATATACAAAAAGAAATAAAAGATTTAAGAACTAAAGCAGGAGACGATGGATGCACACGTACAGATGATGGATAATAACGTAACGAAACGAACAGAATAAACGATAAAAATGCAGCAGAGTGATTTTAAACCAGAGATTTTCCCTGTTTGGTTAAATTACATTTAACATCCAGTAAAATCAGAGTCATGTGTTTAAATTTGTTCTTTTACAGCGTTCGACTGTGAAATTACACATTTTTACTGCATTTAAATCATCAAACATAAAATTATTTGATTGTTATTTGCTGTTATTTGTCAGAAGATTATGTTTATGATGGTTTTAAATTGTTTCAGTAGTTTTTTGACAGATTTTTCGTGTTTTTTTCAAATTTTCCTGTTTCAGTAAATTACAGAAAAAAAACATGTTGTTTACATGTTGAATGTAAAAGAATAAAATAAATAATATCCACAATAAAAATAGTGGTTTTATAATTTGCAGCTGCAGCATGACACAGTTCTACTGCATTTAAATCATCAAACAGAATTATTTGATTGTTATTTGCTGTTACTTGTTAGACGATTATGTTTATGACGGTTTAAATTGTTTGAAGTCATTTTTTAAACACTTTTTGACAGATTTTTTCTGTTTCGTTCAAACTTCCCCGTTTTGGTAAATTACAGAAAAAAAGTATTAATTTACAGGTTAATTATAGAAATAAATAAATTGTCCTACAAATAAATCAACTGGTTCATTTTTGAACATTATGAGCGATCACCGTGAAGAGTTCAGGTCTTCGTGTTTAACGGTTCCTGAGGTCGTCGTTTAAAAGTCGTCTCAGGTTCAGTTCTACAGACTCATAGTTTCTGATTAAAACAGGTCAAAGCCAGTCAGTGGAGCAGACAGGAGCTCATCTGAAGACCTTCCCTCCAGAGACTTACTTTCTCTCTTGAGCTGGGAGATGATGGAGTGGTCTCCTCGGTTCATGGTCCTGCAGGGACGAAGCAACAGGTGAGCAGCAGGTCCACGTTCCTCACAGCACCGACGCCGGTGTGGCACGGTACCGGCCCAGCGGTTCGTCACGAGGTGTGTCAGAGAAGCTCCAGGACTGGTGTCACAGAAGATTTATGCCAAACCCAAACTACAAACGATCCTGCAGCGTTTCCTTCGTCCAGAAGAAGAAGCAGAGTCAGGACCAGTGGAGGCTGCTTCACCATGACAACCTGAGCATCCCACAGCTCCTGGCTGAGAAGAACATCTCTGTGCTGGAACAACCTCCCTCCTCACCCCACCTGGCTCCGTGAGGTCGGTTCCCCTTCCCCGAGCTCAAGGGGGTCATCAGGGGGACCCACTTAGAAGACGACATCAAGATCCCTGAAGAATCCTTCTGCATGGCGGCGTGAAGGCAGAAAAGGCTGAGGAGGAGTGGTCGACTCCAGGGATTACTTGTAGTTTGGGTTTGAAATCTACACAGTCCTGGAGCTTTCCTGCCTCACCTGGTGCGTCCCCGGCTGCTTCCGGGTCCGACCCCCGTCCAACAAACACTCACCGGTAGTTGAAGTGCATCACGGCCTGGATGGCGCTGCCTCCTCCGGTGTTGATGTCGCCTTCGAAGCCCGGCAGCAGCGGCGTCACCACGTACACTCGGTACTTTTTACCCTCCCTGAGGACAAACGAGGCTCTTCGTTAATATAATGATACGATCTTGTGTTCAGAAACACATGTGAATCTTTTACATCAATGAGGGGATGAAGAAGCGACGGCTGCCTGGAGCAGAAACATGCTTTAATAAAAACGTAGAGAAACGAGCGATCTGCGGAGCTGCTGGTAGATCTGGTGTCTGTTAGCAGAACGTTATAAAAACACTAAATGACAAAAATCATCATCAACAGGAACCAAAAAAACAAAAATCTTTCTTTTATTGTTTTTACATGAACGGGAATTTAATTTTCAGTTTCAGATTTAATTCATATTTATTTTTTAGTACAACGACTGAAACATAAATTATTCAAGTTCAGCAACATCTGAATGTGAATTCAGCTTTTATGGCTTTAAAAGAAATTTCAGAGAAAAACTACATTTAATTTCAACTTAATAAATCCAGCTTCAAATGATGCGACTCGTTATTTAGTTTTATTAGTAAAATTATTTAAAGTTGAGCAACTCAAGTTCAAAAATAAACGACTAAAATTCATCAAAAATTGAAATTGGACTGAATTTTTAGTGAACTTCATAAATTATTTCAGAAAAACTGAATTTAATTTCAGTCTAATTAATTAAATCTCAAACTATGTGATTTAAATTCCACTTTTTAATGAAGTTATTCAGGTCGAGCCGTTCAAATTCAATTATAAATGTTTTAAATCGATGCTTCAAACACAAATTAATTCAAAAACTGCATTTGAGCTGGTCTTCAGTGAGCAGGAACGACAGCTTCAGACAAATTAAATTCAGTTTTATTATAATAAATCTGATTTGTAATGAGATGATGCACATTCAAGCTGAGCAGTCAAAATTCAAAGTCAAAAAATAAAAAAATCGAAACAGAATTTTTATTTAGCTTCAAATATAATTTTTAAAAAATTGAATTTATTTTCAACCAAATAAATTTATTTAAAATTTTGTCATTGCATTTAAAAATAAATAAATAATAAAATAAATAAAATAAATACTAATAAAAATAAATATAAGTGACTTGAATTTAGCAAAAAAAAAAACCTGCATTTGAGCTGATTTTCAGTGAGCAGTGATTTGGTTTAAATATAATAAATTCAGTTTGATATTTACATGACGCAGGTCCAGCTGTTCGATGCGTTCATTCAATCTGAGCAGTTCAAATATAAATGATTGAGTTTCTAGTGACTCAGATTTCTGTCCCTGACGACACAGTTTGAGTGAAAACCGACAAACACAATCTGACATATTTCTGCAGATGTTTGTGTTTTTAAATCCTCAGATTTCCTTGTTGTTTCCGGGTTGTGTGTAAAGTTTGATCAGTTTTCATCGTTGCGGCTTCATGAGGACTCTCTGACTCTGCAAACAGGAAGACAATGAAGTGAAATGAAACTTTGCAGCTGCAGCGACGGCGGCTCTGTGTTTAGAGAAGAAGCTAAACTCAGCTCGTGTTTTCCTTCACGTCAGCTTCCCTCCAAACATCTGGAGCCCAGACGGATGATATTTATAAAAGCCGCCCTGCAGAGTTTATGTTGAACCGCTCCGTGTGTTCTGTGCCGGACGTGATTAAAGAGGAAATGATTCACATAAACGCTGAACGTGACCTGTGACGCCAAACCAGTCAGCTGGTGCACGGAGCGACGTCCACCTGCTCTCCAGGTGTGTTCTGGGAAATAACGAGCCAGCGCACTAACACGACGTGGGCGTGTTTGCCGTGTGAAGCGCTGACAGAGTGTGTGTTCGTCACCTGGTGTGTGTTCTACCTGTACGCTCTGATGATGCGCTCTGCGATCGTGTCTCCGATCTTGTTGAAGACGTGTCTGTTGTCCGCACAGCTGATGAAGAACTGGTTCTGAAGACAAACAAACACAGCGATCAAGAGCTTTAACGCTGTTTATCAAATGATCCTCCCTGAATATGAAGCTAGAAGGAAAGTAAAGTACAAAATCCCTCCTGGTTAGTGCACACTTCAAGTCTTGGAGGTCAGGTGTAGTACCTGGTTGTGCCACCAGGGGGCGAGTGGAAATTGTTTTTGAACCTCACAGAAAATTCAGTTGAATTTCAATTGTAAATATTCAATTAAAAAAGCTTGGTGTATAATTTCAGAGGACGCTCAGACCAACATGCTGACGGTAAACGAGCACCTCGATGTAGACGAAGTGGCGGCTGTTCCTGATGGCCTCCACGTAGGCGTTGTGGATGGACTCCTCGTGGTACTTGATGCCGGCCGACCAGTCTGAGGCCGAGCGCAGGATCTGGAGGGAGGCGGGTTCACAAGACCGTTAACCAACCACAAGATTTGTAGAAATAAATAAACAAGCTGTTTGCACCAATCAGAAGCTGGAAGGAACAAAATATGGAGATGTTTGGAGAAGCCGTGATGACTTCAAGCTGAATGAAGACTCAAATTCATTCATATTTGATATAATTAATAATTAATTAGGAACAGTTGAATTAAAATAACTAAATATAAATACATGGTTTGAAACTCTGGAGTTCTACCAAATGTTCCCTCAAAATAAATTCAAATCTTGCTGAGTTTTAATCATTTATATTCGAATCATG